TGTTCCAGTGGTTTATCAACCTCTTTTTCTCCATGTTAATAGCCTGGACCTCCAGACCAGCCTGGGGGACAGACAGCATGAATCTACACTGTGTTGAAAAACCAAATTCATGTTACAATGCAATTTATTTTTTTTCTGTTCATAATATGCTGAGCAGGAACAGCTTCAGCTACTGTGGCTGGTTCATTGTCCCAGCAGACCAGAGAGCACAGGTCTGTAAGAAAAAACTGCTGAGAAGGGGAGGAGGAAATGATTTACAGGCAATTCTTAAGAACAAAGGAAAAGAAAAAAACGTCTTCATTCCTCCAAACAGGAACAAAACAAGCAACTCTGGCCCACATTGTACACAACACGTGAGGGCAGGCCAGAGGGGTCAGTCCTGCCAGAGGGAAATATTAACCAGAAAGGAAAAGCCCCCTCCTACCTCACTGACTGCCTGCCGGGTCACTTTTGTGTCCTCTGCCTGGGCCACAAGCTGAGCTTCAAACAGAGCAATTTGTTCCTGGAGCTCGTAGGCTCTCCTTGTTAACTGGTCTAGGAGAAGGTCCTATGGAGTCAGAGCCAAAATATTCAGGGTGAGTGATGTACTCTCAGTCTTAACCAACTGTATCCTACAAGAACAAAATCAGCTAGAAAAGGAATTAAATTGGCAACTGGATTAGATTTGATTCCTACTGAAACTTTCCCATTCATACACAAATGACTCAGGACTGCAGCAGGGACAACCTGTAAGAGAATGGAACTTTTGCTGATTGTTTATTATTCCAGTTGCAGCAGTAAATTGATAATGCAGCTCTGAAGCAGCATTCCCTCCTGTCAGCATGGATTACACTGTGCCACTTCAACAGATGCTGCGAATCTTAATAATGTATAGTTGAAAATCCTTTGTTAAAAACCTCCCAAACCCATTGTATTTTAACAGTCTGCATGGAATTCTGCATTGGTAATACCCAGTCTGCATCCTGGAAGGCAGCAGAGGGAGCTCCAGCACCGACCAGCTCTGCTCATTCCCGAAGTTCACTTTCCACTGTGAAATTTGCTGTGACTCACAATAATTCTCGAGACCTGAATACATGGTATTTCTTCACTAAATATCTTCCTGCCCCCACACCCCTTTTGCTTGACTGAAGAGTGATTTACTGTCCTAAGGCTTGCCTAACCCTCTGGGCAGTAAGTGCTGCTATCTGGGGGGAGGCAGGAGTTCTTCTCCTTTTTAGAAAAGCTTCTGGTTTTTTGGGGTTTTTTTTATTATTTGGGAAAAATATCCCCATGCATCTTCCATGACTCCATCACTCCAGCCTTCCTTCTGAGAAGGCAGCACATCCTCCAAGACTCACCACTAACTGTCACCTGTATTTATTTTTTTCAAAGACAGTTTTACTTGGTACCTGTTTTTTCTTTTCCACCTCAGCCTGGAACTTCTCTGCCTCGGCCTTCTTTGTCGACTGTTTCATCAGTAAAATCTTGTGATGCATGTCCTGGTCCATGTTCTGCATGTAGAAAAGCTGCAAGGCCAGGTTTTCAACCTGGGTCTGCATTGCAGAAACTGGGAGGGGGGGGGGGAAGAGGGAAAATAGTCAGAGAAGTTTGTTTGTAGGATACACCTTAAACAGAAATAAAAGGGAAAGAAATGCAGAAGCTCCCAAAGCAAAACCTCTCACACACCAGCTACATCAGCCCTCCCCAACATAAGAATTTACATTAGCTTTGGAGCAAAGCTCCACAAGCAAAGCTAAAAATCCTGGTAAGCAATTCCTTGATTCCCAGCACACAGAATTCCAGGAGCGCCCGTGAAACTTTTTGGTGAGTGCATTATTCCTGATCAATTTTACTGTGTTTTTCAATCCAGAGTTTGCCTAAAATCCAAATTAATTTCTCCACACAGCCCCAGAACTAGGAAACATTGCCAGCACTGCCTCAGCCACCTTTCTTGCGTTCATCATCTGTGTTGTGGCACATGTTCCCATAAGCATCCCTGAGGAACCCCAGTTCCTCCTCCAGCTGCTGCCTCGCCGTGGCTGCCCGGGAGTGGCGGTCGTGGCTCTTCTGCAGCTCCTCCTGCAGCTGGGCCAGCTGCTGCTGGGCTCCATAGAGGACCACCCCGAGCTCTTCTCTCTGCACTTTGCTGTCCTTCGTTGCTGTCCTCTGCAGACACAAGAGGTGACGAGCTGTCCCACGGCAGCTCGGGCGGGAGGGGCTGTGGGAAGGCAAAGGAGAGGCCGGGTACCAGCTCATGGAGGTCGAGGTTCACTTGCTCCATCTGCTTAGTGATGTAATTCTTCAGGGCAGCCTGGAATCTTCTCATCAGAGGCTGTGAAGAAGGATGGCATTCAGACATTTTAACATGTTTGTGTAAATAAATTAGGAGGAAGCCTCGCTGGTACTCCCCCCATTAAATAAAACATCTTACTTCTGCCATAGACACTTGTGTTCTTATTTTAGCTACACTTACTGTAGCAAGTGGAAGGAGTTACATAGTGGGTATTCATTTATGTCAAAAAGTGACCAGTGAGATTATTTGAAACATGTCAGAAGCTACATCTGAGAACCCACCCACTCACTCTTGCTGCAAGGACTTCTCTTTCAGGGGCACCGAAGAGCACCAGGTTTGCCCACTACCTTGCTCACTCCTGAACCTGCAGCTCTGGGGTTGGCATGGAGGGAGTGACACAGTCAGGAGTCAATACTTTGGCAGAAGTGATTTGCAAATGTGCAGTTCAGCAAACAGCTGAGCCACTGCTTACAGCTCACCTCCACGCTTCAGACAAGCAAAATCACCAGGTCTGCAAAGAACAACGACAAGATTCGAGGGCTTCTCACGTGTTCTGGATCCAAGACGACCAGTTCTGTTTCTTCTGCTGTTTCCTCACTACTTCTGCTTATTTCATGGTCCTTGGATCCATGCTGCTGGGATTCCTTTTCCCATCTTCGGTCTCCATGCTCACCAGGGAGTGAAGTGGGGTCTCCCATGTTCCCTGGACCACCCCCCCCCAAAAAAAAAAAAAGAAACAGATAAAGAAATAGGATTAGATTTCACTGTATTGTGCCTCCAGTTGGATTAACAATGACCAGAAAGGGAGAAATGCTTGAGAGCTGGTCTCAAGTGCTGCTGTGTTGATACCTGGCTCTGTGCCGGTGTCCGGCTCCGCTGCCGATGCTCCCGAGGGAAGGGAGGAGGCTCCTCTGCCTGGTACTGGCTGCTCCATGTCACCCTGTCCAGGAGGACAACTGTCACTTTCTACATTGTCCTACAAAGTCTCAGGAGATGTTTCCTAAAACATAAAATCCATCACCTGAAACAGCTTTTCCATCTACCTCTATTTACCCCTAAAAATGTGCTTATTTTTGTCACCATGAGACATGAGAGATGCAGACAAAGGATCAGCAGGAGGGCCTGGCTCTAAAACCAGCACAGAGACACTGGCAAAGCTGTGTCACCCTGATTTAAAAAACACCTCACAAGTGCCCAGCACAGCAACAGAACCTCTCTGGTTCTGTCAGAGCTCTTGTACACGCCGTGCTTGACCCACGGGCTTCCCTCTGTTCCAATTCTGGCTGGTTTTGTGTTTGCAGCAATAAAACTGCACCAGGAGAATGTGCAGCTGCAAACACTGCTCAGGCATTCTGGGAATCACAGAATCATGGAATGGTTTGGGTTGAAAGGGCCCTTAAAGCTCATCTCATTCCACCCCTTCCATGGGCAGGGACACCTCCCACTATCCCAGGTTGCTCCAAGCCCCGTCCAACCTGGCCTTGGACACTTCCAGGGATAGGGCAGCCACATAATTAATAAGATTATTTATATAATTATGGTGTCCCACTTCTGTCCCACAAACAGCTCTGTAACCCCACAGACCTCTCTTCGGGGGGGGAATGACTCTTCTTGCTCCTCCAGAACAGACTCTCCCTCTCCATTGTCATTCCCATTCTCTGCTTCCATGGCCTGGCTCACAGCACAGGTGGAAAGCAGAACAGCAGATTATCATTTACATTTAATGTTAGTGCCATGGTATTTTTTGCCACAGGGCACAGAATTTTAATTTAGAAGTTTAATCTCATTTGCAAAAACAGCCACCCAGCAAGCACTGAGACAGTAAAGATCCTGACAAAAATCCTCCACGCCTCTTACAGCTTCACGAGTTTCTAGTTCACATCTATTTAAAAAGAAACAAAAAAAAAGCCCCTAGGGATTTATTAAAGAAATTCTTCCATCTTGCACTACATGTAGCCAAAATATTCTCTTCTTTCTTTTCTTCTCTTTTCCTTTTTAGAGAGACACTGTTTTATGCTGCTTCATCACTTGCCAAATTCAAGTGTTGGGCAGTTCCAATGGAAGAGGAAAACTTGCCACCAACAAACCTCCAAAAGGAGCCTGAGTATGTGTGTCCATGAAATGTGGATAAATCCCTTTTTACAGTGTCTGCAGCAGAAACGTGCAAAGGAGTGAGTGAAAAACACATACTTCAAACGCTGCTGACATGGGACCGTAACTAAATTTACTTTTTAGTGGCTTTTTTGGAACACATTCCTCCGTAAGGAACGCTGGGAATGTTCCAAAGGGATTCAGCTCCACAGCGAGATGTGAGGGG